AGAACAAGCACAAGCAGGGGAGGGGCAAAGAGAGGAGGGGGACAGAGGATCTGAAGCAGATTATGCGTTGACAGCAGAAAGCCCCAGGAGAGAGCCTGACATGGAGCTGGAACTCACGAACCATGAGATCAAGACCTGAGCTGAAGTCAGACGCTTAACCAACTGAGCCACCCAGGAGCCCCTGTGATACATTTTTTAATACACTGCTGGATTTATTTTATTGAGTATTTCACTTTGTATTTCACATCAATATTTATAAGTGAATTTCCTCCCTAAATATTATTTCTCATTATGTCTTGTTTGCCTATGGTATCTTGGGATACTGGCCACATAGGAGGAGTTAAGAATTATCCCTCTTTATCTTTTACCTGAAACAGTTTAAGATAGGAGTTCTCCGTTAATCCTTTGCACCCACCCCTCTCACTCCATTGTATTCACTGGGCAAAGCCCCACCTCTTGTTAAATCTGACTCTTTGCCTACTCTGGGGGTGCACCTGAGCAGCTGAATGTGGCTGGAGAAAAACACAGCCATAATTTCCACTGGAAATTAATGACCCTCCAGTGCTGTCCAACAATCCTATTAAAAATCCCTGATTTCCTTGAGAAGGAAGGACTATTTTATACCTGCTCCTCTCTCTTCAATCCTCCAATAACTCCTCCCCATCTGTACTCTTGGCTGATGACCATGCCTTATGTTTCAATGAGAATGTAGAAACAATAAAAGAGAACATGGCGCCCATGTACCCTGCCTTCCTTCTTGTTTTGATGAATAAACAATCTGTGCTCCTCTTTAAGGTCACCTACCACGTGTGTGCTACACTCCACCCCTCTCACTCGTTCAAGGCCTTTGCTCCAGTGATTTTCACTCTGCCTCTTCTCAGTCTTCCTTGGCATTTGGTCATCTTCTGCATCTTTCCACCTCTGTAAAGCTCCTCTTTGAACATCATCTCTTCTCTGTCTACACTCACTCCTGTAATCTCATCCAGCCTCATGGACCTTTTAAACACCACATATAAACCAATATAACTCCCAGATTTTTATCTCCAGCCCAGACCTCTCCCCTACTTCTAGATTCATATATTCAATTGCCGACTTGCTATGTCTACTTGGATGCCTAATGGGCACCTCAAACTTAACAAAAACTCCTTATCTTCCTCCCCAAGTTTGTTCTTCCACAATCTTTCCCAACTCAGTAAATGGCAATTCCATCCTACCAGTTGCTCAAGCCATTAACCTTGGAGTCATTCTTGACTTCTTTCCTCTACACACCTTACACCCAATCCACCAGTAAATCCTGTTGCCTCTACAAAATTTCCCCCAAATGCCACCACTCCCAGTGGTCTCCACTGCAACCACCCTTGTCTAGGCCACTGTGGTCCAGCTGCAGCAGCTTCTCAATTGGTCACTCTGCTCTGCTTTGTGACCTCTTACAGACAATATTCTATGCAGGTGATAGCGGGATTCTTTTCAAACATTATTCAGATGTCACTCATCTGCTCAAAACCTGCTCATGGCTTCACTTCTTAGAATAAAAGTCAAATTCTGGGGCACCTGGGTGGCTCAGTCGGTTGAGCACCCGACTTTGGCTCAGGTCATGATCTCGCAGTCCATGAGTTCAAGCCCCGCGTCGGGTTCTGTGCTGACAGCTCAGAGCCTGGAGCCTGCTTGGTATTCTGTGTCTCCCTCTCTCTCTCTGCCCCTCCCCCACTCAGGCTCTGTCTCTCTCTCTCTCTCAAAAATAAATAAACATTAAAAGAAGTTAAAAAGTAAATATATAATACCTCTCTCCTTAATGTGATAAAGGCCTAAGAATGCTTTAACCTACTTCCCATTGCTCTGCTATGTTATTTCACAGTATTTAATTCTATCTTTTTTAAACCTCCCCAAACTAGACTTTACTATTTGTTCCCTACTCCATGTTTTGGTTATCCCACTCTTTTCATTTTAAATTCCATTGCCCCTAAATAAATAATACTCAGTTACTGTTCTTATTTCTTAATTATATACTTTTTATAATAATCTGCAGTTACGGTCACTGCCTCGATCACTTTTTCTTTCTAATCCATATTCTCTTATCACTACTTTGTGCTTAACACTTTTATGAGCCTTCAAACAGAACTTATATTCAAGAAATGTACATTTAATGTTTATCTGGACCAAAATAAATCTGAGAATTTTTTTTTTTAAGTCAATGATTACTTGAAGATACTTCCTGGAGTGTATATTTATACTCTCTGTGTATATGAAATCATATCTGCAAAAGAACCCTTTTATAAACATAGCTCTTCTTTGCCTTAAAAATTTGAGTGATATTTAGTAGCACATGTATGTGGCAAATGACTAATGGAAAAAGTTGTTCTCTTTCACAGATACAGGAAAAGGAATGAGTTGACACGCTATTGCCTCTAACAAAAGAATGTTTAACATGTTTAACACTAAATGATTCCTAACAAGTGAAATCAATTTAGAAAGCAAATCAGAAAACAGAATTCAATGAAAAACACCTCATAACATCTCCATACATCTACAGGAGATGGGGAGATACAGCATCAATTTAGAAACCATTAGTCCAGCTCATTCATTTTTTTAGTATGGCAACATATGCATAAAATTGCCCATTCATTTTTAGAGTGCTTAGGTGACCGAAGATCACTCAGAAAGAGGATGAAACTCTAAATGGGTTAAGGGTCTACAACTGTGAAGCCCAGCTGTTGGGGCTGGATGGGTTGGGGGCGGGGTGGGGGGTGGTAAGGAGCGTGATTCTGTGAATGCAGACTCCTGGCATTTCCGAGCAGGATGGTACGCGGAGGATTCTGGTCAGCCGCAAGAGTACAGAGGGCAAATCTGAGAGCTTTTCACCAACTACCCCCCAAATAAATACAACTAAAGGCTAAGATAACTTTCTTTTAATCATTAAAACGTTGGAGAGGAAAGTCCAACGCTGCACGTTTGCTCTAGTAAGGCAGTTCTTTTGCTCCTGAGAGAAGGCAAGCCTGGATCAATGGCTGGGTCAGAGCCCGCAGGAAGTATTTTATCAACAAGGATTTAATGGTTCCTTTCATGAGCCTGGAACACTGCTTAACTCAAAACGTACAAAACTGATGAGGCCTCTGTGCTTAAGGATCTCACTGCATCAATGGGGACACATAATCATGTTCACGGACTAGAAAGCAGTTAGTAGTTGTATCAGGGCCTTCAAGAAAGGGAGTATTATGGCCCAGGGTGGTGAGGTGATGATGTGTGGCCCAGATATGTGTGGCCTATGTCAAAGTCATAATACCATCAATAGCACTATTTACTGTTGGCCTACTGGGCGCCAGGCAACATACTAGACCCGAATTTTCTTCACAGTACCTCAATGAAGGTAGGTGTTACCGTTCCCATTTTATAGATGCGGGCGTGGACTTAAGAGATGTTGAGTAAAAGCTAACACATCATTCAAGGCAGAGCCGGGGACACAAACACGGGTGTGACACACGAACCAGGCTTCATCGCTTCTCCTTATAGCCCCTTCCATGACAGTAATGAAGGGAAAAACGTTTCAATTTGAATTTTAAAACAATCTGCCGATGTAATTATAATATATTCCAAATGGGAAGGCAAAAAGTAACCACCCTTTGCCCGCCTATTCCTTGTTCAATTCTCAATTTGAACATCATCTCTTCCAGGACTCCACCCCTGGTCCCCAGACTGGGCTAACCTCCCCCAAATAAGGACCACAATCCGTGTGCAATTTCTAAAGCCAATAAGCTCTGAAAACTTAAAGTCTTTTCCAAAGTTTGTAGCAAGCTTGGTGGCAAAAGGTGACCTGAACTGATGTGAAACTATTTAAGTCTTTATTTTTCCTACTCAGTGCGAATATTCACATTCGGGTGTGAGAAAAATGGGTCCAAGGGATGCTTCCCATTGCAGTTATTAAAGACTATATGTGTATATTACCTTTCCAAAATCCAAACATTTCTGACTTGCAAACATCTGGCCCCAAGGATCTCAGACAAAGGAGTCTGGACCTACACCTTATGCACAGATCGCATCATACTACGAGGATTTATTCTTTTCGTAAGTCCAGCACTTGACAGAGTGCCTTGCATATAATAGGTACACAATAAATATTTCCTGAATGAAGAAATGAGACTGAGAAATTGGTTAAGAAGGGAAAATGGTCAGTGGCTTGGGAATGATTACAGCTCCGACTTATAGCCTGAGCCTCTACTCATGGAATGCCACTTCCTTCTCAGACATGGAGGTCCTATAAATAGTTGCTGCTGATTGAGGGCAAGGGACATAGCTGCTGGCCTCACTAGGAATAAAAATAGTCCAGTGGTCTTAACATGATGGGCCCACATATAACTTTAGCCCAGTAATACAGAACAGCAGGCATATTCATACATCAGACCACATGGGCAGCCTCACAGGTCCCCTTAAAGCTGGGAGCAGAAGACCTGCATTTGGCTCAGACGGTAACCTTTTTGGCCTGTGGTTTTCTCACCTGTAAAATATCAACCAGAGTAACCCCTGAGGTCCTCCCAGGTGGGTCTCTAACAAAGTGACTCAAGGAGCAGCAGCAGTCGCCCCACTCTCTTGAGGCCGGATGCAAACCTCAGGAGGTTCTTCGCTCCTGTCTACTGCCCTGGCAGTCCGAGTTCCCCATCCTTATTCAGTGTGCTCTGTCCAAACTATACACACCCCCTCTCTCACCCCCCAAAATGGACAGTCAATGCAAAAAGACGCATTTTTGTGTCCAGGGCACGGGGTCGGGGGGTGGGGGGGCTCTGTCTTCGATCCCAAACAGGGGTCAAAGAATCTGTGAAGAGTGGCCACACAGCACTTCGGTCCCCTGAAAGAGGATGGGGTGGAATGGGGGTGAGGGTAATCACTGGCCAGCAAGCTCTGGATTTGAAGAGAAAAACCTCTTAACTGCAAAGTCTCAGGACGCGGGAGGGGACTGGGTAGGAGAGTAAGTGCCACGAAGAGGGCAGCTTGGGGTGGTCCTTCCTTACCTGGTAGCACAGGATGGTTTGCTGTACCAGCCGCGCGTATCCATCCAAGCGGACTCCGGAATTGCTCCTGCTCCTCATCTCCGCGTGCTGCCCGAGCCCCGGCGCCCGACGGGCTGTGCAGAGGTGGGACGCCCGGACTGAGGCCGCCGACTGGGCCTGGTTCCCAAACACTCACAGCCTCGTTGTTCTCGGGATGGAGCCTGGCGGTGGGAGGTCGAGACTTTTTAAAATGGAAGAAGCAAAGTATGCTTGGAAAGCAAGCCAACCAGAGTTTCACTCTTCTGGAAGGCGCGGGGGCGGTGATGGGGGCTGGCGCTAAAGCGGTCCCTCCTTGACCAGGTCCGCCACACGCCCGACGCCCGCGGGTCCCGGGCTGCCACACGGGAGACGCGGGGAACTGGGCTCTGGACGTGAGACGACAACGACCCCGTCGAGCCTTTTCTGCCTTCCAGAGGTCTTGAAGAGGCCCCGGGGCGGGCCGCCAACCCTACCCAACCCGGCAGCCGCAGCACACTTGCCGCCCCGCCCCCGCCGCGGAACGCAACCTTCCGAGTCGCGGCTCAAGGGGGAAAGAAAACGGGGTGGCTCACGAGAGCAGCGGAGAACCTGGCTCCGGGCGGGAACTCGGTTGCCTCCCTGAGCCCCTTACCTCCCCGCCGGCCGCCGACCGCCGAGCCCCGAGGAAACTGGAGAAACAGGCCCTTCCGCGGAGACCACCTGGACGCCCTGGGCCCGCCCCACGCCCCACCCCTGGACCCGCCTCCAGCTCCGCCCCCGCCGCGGAGCGGAACCCGCGGACCTGGGCTTGAGGAGCAAGGTAAGCGGACCGCTTTGCCGGGGGCCCCGAACGCCCCTAAAACCGTCCACTTGTGGCCCCGCCCCTCCCTGGGATGAGCTCACCAGCGCGTCGGTGAGCCCGCCTTCCAGCCCCGCCCCTCAGCGGAGCGGAACCCTCCGAGTGTCGGGGATGAGAGCCGGGGATGAGCCGCCAACCTCATCGGAGGCGGGAGAAGTAGGCCCGCCCACCGCGGCCGCCTGAGCGCAGGACCGCGGGCCAGGATCACAACTGTGTACCTGGCCGCGTCCCCACCTCCCTGCAGAAGCAGAGTAGCGGGGCCCCTCGGGGAAGGAAAAAGGGGATGTCGGGGCACAGTTCCGCGGCTGCACCCCCCCCCCCCCACTCCGGCTTCTGTAGCGCCGCCCCTGGTCACTGCTCTTGAAGTCAGGCCTGCTGTCCACCTCCTACAGGCCTACAATTTGAAATTGGCATCACAGTTTTCCGGAGCGACTAATAACCTACAGTTCACAGGCTTTGACCCAGTGTTCATTTTCCAACAGCATCTGTTCCACGGGACAGCTCGGCTAATGGAATTTTCACAAGTCTTCTGCTAGTCTCCATGCATTTACTATATGCTTGACCTAGTAGGCCATTCTTCCTCCTCCTTTTCCTCCTCCTCACCTATTTACTGAAGCCTATCCTTTAAGGGCCAACTCAGTTCCCCCTCCTATAATAAGCCCTCCCCATTCTCTGAATTCCCACAACAATTTCTTTGTAAGAACTTAGGTTTTGGAGTCAGTTCAAATTAAATTCAAATTACGGGTTGTGCCATTTACAAGTGTGAGCTTGTCTGCCATTGAAGCTGTTTGAAACTCAACATTCCCTTCCGTAAAATGGGGATAATAGCACCTACCTCCTAGGGTGGCCAACATCAAGAGGATGGATATAAAGCATTTAGCACCATGCCTGGCTCATAGAAAAGTACTTCATGAGTCGTCATAGTTGTTTTCATCCATCATTTGACAATGTACTGCCTCATATTGTTAGTTTTCAGATGAAGCATGCTTTTCTAATGATTGTAAGTTACTCACTGAAATAGTCTTTGATATCTCCTGCCATGTCTGGAACAGTGTTGAGCATGTAGTGTGGCTCAGTGTTGAATGAATGAAAGAAAATGCGTCCTGCTAACTGGGTCCCCTTAACTGAGTTCACTTTAGAAATTCCATACCATAAATCTATGTCACTCAACTAAAGCACCAAACCCCTCATCATCTCACATACTTTTTTCTTCCTATTGGCTCTTAAAGTATGCAGCAACCCATGTGATATGCCTCCATGCAGAATTTGCTATGGTCTAGGGGTGAAATGAGACATTATGTTATCACCATTCAATCTCTTTTGGAATATGTACTCTTACTAGAACTCATATATTTTGAATCAAAAAGCTGGGATCCTTGCTTCATTACTGTTTTTGTTCATACTGAATGCTTCTTCAAGAGTCCATTTTGCAGCCATGGGGGGAAATAACTGATAACCTTTGCTCATTATCTGGCATTTCCATCCAGTATGGAAACATTTTTAGTTTATCTCATTCTTAGTAAATTCTTCTATGCACACATATACCCCTTTTGGTGTATAGCTAGTCTTTATGCTTAAGCTTTGGTCTGTACTTTAGTGAATATTATCATATAAGCTATATTTTTCTTTTTTCAAAAATTTTTTACCGTTTTATTTATTTTTGAGACAGGGAGAGACAGAGCATGAACAGGGGAGGGTCAGAGAGAGGGAGACACAGAATCTGAAGCAGGCTCCAGGCTCTGAGCTGTCAGCACAGAGCCCGACGCGGGGCTTGAACTCACGGACCGCGAGATCATGACCTGAGCCGAAGTCGGCCGCTTAACCGACTGAGCCACCCAGACGCCCCTAAGCTATATTTTTCAATAAGCTTGAAATCCAATGATAAAACCAAGAAGGAAGGCTACAACTGTTTACCTTGTAAATTTCTATGCAAATTTTGGGCCATAAACTGTGCTACATAAAAATCAGACTCAAAATAAGACTCACATCTTAGTATCCTATGTCCCTAAGATACAAAACCTCCATATATTGGTTTCCATATCCACAAAGCTTTTCTCTGGCTGTGATCCAACAGAAACCTGTCTCCACGTCATTTCTCAAATATTGGTCAAGAATCAGATATGGAACGTGATGGGGTATGTTGTTATTTCTGAAGCTGATGCATGATCTTCGTAAACATGAAAGCCCCAAACCAGACTCGGGTAGCACCCCATTTAACTTCTCAGACCCCATCCAGAGCATCTGCCCCATTGTCCTGCCATGGGGGCTGAGGCCAATCAGTTCCCATTGGGCCCCATGTCAGCATCCAAGGGAGAAATCGTCCAATGTTTCTTTTTGAAGGCTCAAGTTTTTGGGTCTAAAGAAAAAGCACTCCATCTTTGACACAGGGGAGAGGGTTCATTCTAAATCAATTTGCTTAAAATAGCCAATTTGCCAAATTTCATTATTTTTTTGGCAGTTAAATTTTTGTTGACTGGAGGTCATTTTCATTGGAATATTTTAAAGAATGTACAATTTGTCTCTATTCCAGGGTCCTGTAGCTAGTTTGAGACTAAGAGGTAAAGAGGAGAAACACCGGGGACTGTAAGATTCTTCTCAGTGACGAATATATAGATATATTTAGAAGAATATATTCTGAAAGAATGTATTCAATTTTTGTCTGGCCCAAGTTGTTAATGCTTTACCTACAGAAAAGGAAAAAGAATCTACTGACAAGAATTCTGCCCATTCAAGATTATGTTTTTATATTCACCCAGTCTTTCCTTTTTCCTCTCCTTCAGACTCCAACTACATCAGCGTGGAGCTGAGGCAGAGACATATTGAACAGTCCTTAAAATGCTGTCATGGAGAAAAAATGGCAACACACCAGTCCAATCGGTAACTTGTTCATTCAGTGAAGCAGTTCTTTGTCCAAATGGCCTTCAAACCAACCTGATTTCTAGGCAACCTCATTAGATACAACCTAGTATCCCAAATGAAGCCATGTCACCATTTTTGCTAAGAGCAGTCATGAAAAGTCATGAACAGCCTTCAGCTTTTGCTAAGAGCTCGCTGAAGTGAAGAGTTACTTTGTGGGATTAATGACTGCAGTGTGTTTTGGGGAAAAACACTTCTCAAATGTTCTGAGGAGATTCTTCAAATTCTGGTCAGTGCTGTGACACTCCTCGCCTCCTCACACTGGCACTTCTCTCCCTTTCGATGGAATCTCAGACTGTGACGCCAATTTTAAACTCAAAGGAGGATGCTTCTCAGGGACATTCTCTCCATCCTGCCCCTTATCCGTGTGAAGTAAAAAAGTAGACAAGAGAATCTGGCTTAAGGCCCACGGTCCAGACACAAAACACAGCAGGAAAAATGAGGGGGCGATGGACAGGATCTAAAGAATGTTGGAATTGTGCATTCTTTGGTGTATGCTTTGATCACATCATGTGCAGGAGATGTGCAGGAGATTTGGTTTCTGAGCTCTCACGCCCAGATCTAGAGTAGCTCACCACCTTCCTCATCAGTGGAATCCTCAACATCTTTGGGGCAGCTGGGCATCATAGGAGAGGCTGCTCTAAGACCTCTTGTGGAATCGAGGCCAGTTTCCCCCATTGGTGGCTCCCACATGCTAATCAGTTCCCCAGAAACCCCTAATCCTGTCCTCACCTTCTCGAAATCCTACTGCTGAATGCTGAGGAAGCAGAGACATGGAGGGGATGTAAATCTGGGACTGTGTGGGCCAAAGGCAACATTTGTTAAAGAGGGAATCTTGAAAGAGATCAAGAGGAAAATGAAAAGGCGACCTCAGAAACCGATCTTGTGAGGAAGACCCTTGCTCTAACCCCGCGGTGACTGTGTGTCTGCTGTTTGCCAGGAGATGTTACTGTCACGTTCATCTCAGTCAGGCCACTTACACGCCACGCTGCCAGGGAAAGAGACTGCAAATGCCTTCTCTTTGTGAAAGCTTTCAAACTCAAAGGACTTAGCTACAAATTTATTTTGGCGATTTTAACAGTTTTGTCGATTTTAACATAAATACAAGACAATTAAATAAATCAGAGAAGAAATATTGCAAAGGCAAATCAGCACTCACAGAAGTGTATTACATTATTACTGTGGTTAACCTGGAATACAACATTCACTTGAACTATATGCAAGGGAACCTTCGTGAAAGGCCTAACTAAAGGGTTTTGCAATGTTCCTAATAAGGACCTACTCGAGACATTGCTCAAACAGCTGTAGGTGGGAAGCAAGATAAACCCTCTATAACTAGAAACAATCAGGCTTTGATACGTATGGAAACAAGAGCATTGAAGGATAGGTCGTGTTCCCAATAGCTGCTCCCCCTTGTCACTATACATTCTTCAAGACTTCACACCTTTTAAAAAATAATCCTAGCTCTGGCTGGGCCAGAGCGTACCAATCATGACAATTAACAAAGTACTACGCAGTTGCCTTTTAAAGAGCAGCAATATGATTATTTTCCCCCATACGCACCTCCCTTAAAAAGTAATCCTACTCTACTCCCCTTTTCTGAAAGGCTCTGGGGATTTGAGAAGTGGCAGTGTATGTATCTCTTCCACATTCACAATTTTCCTGACAGATGGTCTAGATTACAGTTCCATCCCTCTCTGTGGCCAAGGTGCTAAGCTAAACGTCTTGGTGCAGATTCCCTAATCTGGTGATTAGGCATGAGGTCAGGAGACGGGTGTTGGTATTGGGTGCCGCGTGTGGGTGTACAGATGGTACCCTGCACAAGGGTGCACCCAAGAGGATGAGTGAGGCTAAAGCATGGCCCCCACTCAGTATGACAAGCCGTGAGCCCTTGGGGCTGTGTCTGCCCAGTGGGGGCACCTTTTTCCAACTCGCTCAAAGGCACTATATGAGCTAATTGTGGCACTGTCTGCTTACATTTTGTCCAGTCTGGCTGGCATCATTAATTTCTTGATTTCAGTGAGGCTTCTGTATTTCACATCCCATATAATCTCCAAAAGGAGCTTTAGAATTCACTGAACCATCAAGGATTTTCTGAATTATCACATTAGACACAAGAACACAACCACGATTCTACAAAGAAATACATTTACACGGTAGAAAATAAATACAAAAGACGTGGAAGATATTTGACATGTGGGTCACTAGAATTTAGCTTATTTACAACAAATGCATGCACAACTCAACTCACCAACAGGCTGAAGTCAACAGTTGCTTTCTGGGACGTTATCAAAGATGACTTCGCCTCTAAACTGGCTGGAAATGAACTACTTTGATTTTCAAGAAGTCTTTCTTACTCTTACTGTGTTGTTTAAACCTAATCTCCTCTTAAAAGGAAGGGTAAAAAAACAAACTGCAAATGTCTAAAAACCATGTCTAAAACCTCTTGGCTTCCTCTTCCAATAACCATCGCCCTTCAATTAGCAAATGCTCCTCCAGAGGTTGCCGAGTATAAAATCAGTTGATTTTCATACATCTCACATTGTGTAAAAGATAAAATTGGACATTTCACACTGTCAAGCATCATGCTTTGATTTTAGAAAAAGGAATCACATTTACTCAATAAAGTGTAAGCTTCCCCGCTTTGAAGTCCTTCTGAGAGCGATACGGCTTTTCCCATTGCACGGATCTTCTTTCTCGTTAAACATGTGCTGCTTTCCAGTGAAATCATGAAGGCACACATCTCCGTTCTGAACACTGAAAGAAACCCCATTCTTCTCTGAAGACGCATTCCCTATATAAGGAAAAACAAAATTGGTGTCATGGAGTATCCACAGAAAGCAATTAAAAATAAACTTAAGCATCACTTTATTCTGAAGTAGGCACGTGTAGAATGGTTTTTTAAACAATATATTTGTTTTTTACTTTGCATTCCTTCCCTAAGGCCACTGAAAGTAAGCAAAACAAACTGGGGAATAAGTCAGAAGCCAGTTCTCTGTGGCATTTTTTTTTTTTAATGAAACGGTCGAAAATGAAGCAAAGCAATATATGTGATTTGAAAAGGCCCATTTCCTAACTCTGGTTGATCATTATCGATCCTATGTGTAGTGTATTGATTGCATATCGAGCATATGTATAGTATAACCTGTGATATTCTGGTCTCCCCCAAAAGGTAAAGGTTAACAGAGATCCCCATAGGTCCTCTGACAAGGTTCCTAGTTCCTTAAGATTCCTATGAAATAAAACCTTGTACCAGAGAAACCCAGAGCAAAAACAGTTATGGCCAAGAAAAAAAATCATCTCTCGTAGACCAAACCAGCCCCTCTGACTACATCAGGACAGGACTGATTCCCAAGAGGAAACTACCAATGACAACCTCAGAGTCTAGGCCAGGGTGTAGCTGGGCATTCTAGAGACATCGAAGTTTGGACCTGGGCCTCCCATACCGCAAGCAGGCCCCAAACTGTGTGTGACCATTATACTATTAGGAGACAATGTAGAAAGCTTAATAATAAGCCCATTTTTTTAGTTCAGGCCATAATTGTAGTAATAACGGTAAGAGTGCCGAGAACTTTGTAAGTATTATCTCGTTACACTGCAGGTTGAATGCAATTATCATCCCCATTTCACAGACGATGAAACAACGGTTTCAGAAGTCAAGTGCTTGGCACAAGGTTATACAGCTCAGAATTGATGGAGTCAACATGTGATGTTTCTTTCAAACTGTGAGCTTGTGGCCCCACGTACCTAACAACACGGCTGCTGGCACCAAGCCCGTAGAGCAGAACTAAACGTGTCACACACCAACAGGGTGATAGATAAGCTCAACTAGGGCATGTGACTGTCTGAGGCAGCTATTCTGACCTAGGCATTTTGGTCTGAGGACATCTGGTGCAGGCACAATTTCACCTAGTTGAAGAAACCATTAACCTTCCAGCTTCTTTTTTCAAATTGCCTGTCCCATCCCTCATCCATCCCAGATCCTGGTGTGTAGCCCAAGGAGTCGGGGAGGTCTATCGGATGAGCATGTCACGTGGTATTAAAAACCTGGCTGTTCTAGGGGCGCCTGGGTGGCTCAGTTGGTTAAGTGTCCCGCTTCGGCTCAGGTAGTGATCTCAGTTGGTGGGTTCGAGCCCCGCGTCGGGCTCTGTGCTGACGGCTCAGAGCCTGGAGCCTCCTTCAGATTCTGTGTCTCCCTCTCTCTCTGCCCTTTCCCTGCTCCCTCCCTTCCTCCCTCCCTCTCTCTCTCTCAAAAATAAACAAACATAAAAAAAAAAAAAAACTTGGCCATTCTGGTGGCCCAAAATGTACCCCCACCCTCACTGGCAGCCATCAAAAACAGCTGTGCAAAATGTGTTGCTTCAGTCAAATCTGACTCCCCAAAGGATGGATGGCAACACAAGCTAGGCAAATGAGGCTTCATCTCTGAGTTGTTTCTAGAATATGGAAAAATCTGGCTTTAAGACCTCCAAACATTTTGGTCCAAGCTAATAGGCGCTACTGATATGTTGTGATTCTGAGGAGTCATGATGGCTTACCTCATACCTCCGATTTCTCTGCTTTGAACTTGCTTTCTCATGCTAACAACTTATTAACCAGCCCTGAAGCTACTGCCTGTACTCTGTTTACCTGTATCGAGTCATTCCTGATACAGCCATTTGGCACAGAAGCCAGAGCTCTTACCCTGGTAGCAGAGCTAAGGCCATGTGGTAACTGTTTCCCATCTTCTACAGCAATGGTTCTCAGTGAAGGGGGGTGCATGATTTTTACCCCTAATGGGTGCATTTACCCATAATGTCTGAAGGCATTTTTGGTTGTCAAAACTGGGGGGTGAGTGGGTGGGTGCTACTTGTATCTGGTGGGTGGAAACTAGCATGTTGCTAAACACTCCCAATTATACAGGACAGCTCCCCCCCCACAACAGTTATCTAGCTCCAAATGCCAATTGCTCCAAGGTGGAGAAACCTCGATTTAGAGGCACTCTATTGTATTTTTGAATTCTATATAAACAAGCAGGACCTCCCATTTTTGGAGGGTTGGAAAACCATGTGGTATATAAACCTTCTTACAAACTTATTTGAATTCGTCATAAAAATAACTAATGTCTTAAAATGATGAATGAAGGCTGGGGCGCCTGGGTGGCTCAGTCGGTTAAGCGTCCCACTTCGGCTCAGGTCACGATCTCACGGCTTGTGGGTTCGAGCCCCGCGTCGGGCTCTGTGCGGACAGCTCAGAGCCTGGAGCCTTCTTCGGACTCTGTGTCTCCTCTCTCTCTGTCCCTCTCCCGCTCATGCTCTCTTTCTCTCTCTCAAAAAGTAAACATTAAAAAATGTTTAGATCGTCATCAAGTCCCATCATGAAAAACTAAATCCTAAAAAAGTAAAGGTTTTGGTATTTGCTCTAAAATGAGTAAGTCTGGATGAATAAACCTCTTCTATAACGGAACCGCATTGTGATCCACTAGTCCTATGTAATTTTTCTCTTAGCTGAGCAAAAATGTCATTAAAGGATAAAACTACTTTAATAAAAACCAACACTAGCTTGAGACATACTATATTGAGACATACGTACCGTTCCCGCTCACAAGTCCCGAGCAATCGCTATTCACCAGCAGCGTGGTGGAGTGTGTGGAGTTACTGTTTGACTGTAAGGAATTTGAAGAGCTGGACACTCCTTGGTTTACGGTCTGCTTCTTTAAACCATTAGTAGCAGTTTTACTCCAGTCTATAACAGAATAAGCATTTCAGAAAAGCCAGATGGAACGCTGAAGCTCAAATGCAAGAGACAGATCATCGCAGTATAACCTGTTCTATCTAGCAACTGATCTCGCTTCCATTTCTTGCAAAGAACTCACACATTTCACAAGGTGGTGTGATAAAATGTATTTTCATTGAAGACTATACACATCTGTGCTTTAAATGACTTCCTGGTTAGAAGTAAGCTATATTCTCTTGGACTGAAGTCCACACTGATTTGATTGTGTCTGTAAATATCCCCTGAATTAGGTAGTCGTTGGGAGCCCAGGACTATCTTAACAAGAACACAAGACAACTGTGTTGTGATGACTGATGGCTCTTCAACGTTTTAGAAGAACCGCACCAACTGTACCGCCATTTTCCGAGTACAGATCTCATGCCACCAGATCTTTGCAATATTGCAAAGGTTGTGTTCATGGGTGGTATTCGTGTAAAAGGAATTCATTTTTTCAAACAGTACTTCATTTTTCTTATTTTCTTGCAAATGAGCAATGTGCTCTACAATTCGGCAGGGCGTACCTGAAAATAACTTCAAAATAACCAAAGGTATGCTAAAGCTTGTATACAAAGACTTGCCTGCTAACAAATGAAGCAACTGACCACTGGGACCTGTGGTAAAAAGGTTGAGCCAAGACATTTTTTTATAAGAAAATAATATGCTTTATTAAAGAACCATAGAATTTTTAGAATGTTCTTATTTAATTTCCAGTTAGTTAATAGCGTATGTAATGTTAGTTTCAGGTGTACAATAGAGTGATTCAACACTTCGATACATTACCCCGTGCTTCTCACAAGTGCCCTCCTTAATCCCACCACCTATTTAACCCATCTCCCAACCCCCCAGGTTGAGTTAAGACTTAACAAGTTCTGAAAGCAAATATCAAAACTCACTTTGTGTAAATGGAAAAACTGAGCTCAAAAGGAAATTCTAAAAATTTCACTCTTGTTTCATGTAAGAAGCAACAAGCCCATTCATTCTATTGCTCATGAAGCTCCCAGTTCCCAGACGGGAATAATTATTTTTTAATTCACTAGATTTTATTCCCTAACGTTCACAATTGGGATCTGTTCACTGATTTCTAGATCAGACGGCCTTTTGGCATTGATTGCTTTAGATCTTAACTTCTGTCTTTTCCTCAGGATTTAAGAGGAGAAAAAGGTAAATCTTTACCAGAATTTTCAGCCAGCCGTAACTTTCCACAACAAAGATACCGCCTCCATTGCTTTCTGACGTTCTCTTTCGCTACACAGTAAAAGATGAATATGAAAAATCCTACGGAGGAAAAAAAAGTCACATAATTCCAAACTAAGACCTGAATATCATGGGCTTCCTTTGCACAAAAGATAAAATATTTGGCAGCTATAGGCAAAGTGAAATTTTGTGAATAAAAAAAAAAAAGTCCAAAGTCCTGAAAAAGTTTGCTATTGAAAGGCACCCTGCAGGGACTCTTTGTAAGATAAAAAAAAAAAAAAAAAAAAAA